ATTTTTCAGGTTAACAATTATCAAGGTGGCAGTGATTTTTTTTTTCAACTTTCAAAACAACCTGTGGCTTTATAAATGGGAAACTATAGCTTGATTAATCAGAAAAGAGGAAAAATTTCAACCACTGAAAATGGAATTTACCCATACATTTAAAAAAAGTGTAATTCAATTTAAAGGGGTTCCATTGAGGTATTTTGTCATGATGGGACTGAAATATTTTTTCCAGATAAATGTACCATTTGATGAATGTTTAGAACACTAATCTTTGTACAAACCTTTAGATCATTTGCGCACTTCGTTTTTCCAGAATAATTATTCAAATTGTAAAAAGATGACCCAAAATGAAATGGCTAGACTTTAAATAGATATATATGCCTTGTTCTCATATTTTCGGGGGTTCTCATATTTTCGTGGCGTCATGTCCAGTTGTGAATGACAGCTTGTGCGATTGATTGGACTCTCCAAAAAAGCATCAAGTTTTCGCCGACACTTATTTCTATAAATTACTACCATAAGAATTCGTACTAAACATATTAAACACATAAATATAAATCTGTCAATGTCATTACAATTATAATTTTTCTTTTCTCATTTCTATACGTTATTTTCAACTACACAGCAACAAAAAAGAACAAAACACGTATCTTCGCCTTAAAATTCATCACCGGAACTTATACCTAACTTAAACCAATGTCCCGAAATATATTGAGTGCAGTATAGAATTTGTGCGCGCGCAACGTAATTACCGAAACGAGGCCATCCAATCAAAATCCCCGAAAATATGAGACAGCTTCCGAGCGACACAGACTACCGATAGTGAAAGTAGAAAGATTAGTATTTCTTACTGAAATAGTTTATTTTCGTATTTTAAACGGTTCCTTTTTTGTTTGTCATAGTTTTTACTCACTGTTGATGTTTTTTGTCTTCCATTTTCTATAAATTTAAAAACGGTGGCTTTAATTTAAAACATTAAACCCCCGAAAATACGGGTCAACGGCATATATAATAATTTATAAATTAAAGGTCAAAATAAAATTATTCTGAAATATTCAAGAATGTGCCCCATTCGGTAGAGACGTAACGGCCGTGACAAGACCAAAAAATTGTAGGCGTATATGCCGGTTTTCCTGTAAAGGCAGACATCTGTGTAATATCAATTTGTAAAATCTGTCGGTTTTGCAATCTAAGTATGATCGAAATGTCTTGGCCCACTTGGGTACGAAAGACTCGAGATCTCCAAATTACTTCGAAATTATTTACGAAAGTTTTAGTCCTCGGAAACAAATTGGCATCAATAAATAAACATAATATTATTAGTCATCAAATTCATAACATATTTTGCTTTATAACATACCTTATGAGCTTAACAGGCTGATAATTATGCTCGTGAAGTAGGTCGAAAAATATACCGGAAGTTGTCGCATTCATTTAACCTAATTATCGGCTAATTCAGAGACGAATAGATTATCTACATCTCTGGCTAATTCTATTTCAATATCCACTTTGCAATTATAAACTACAAAATTTATCCGATAAATAATGTCTTTTTCAAAAATTCTGGAATATAATACAAAAAAATGTGATGATAAGGCGGATGAGTAAGTTAAATATTGCAAGCCGTCAATACTATGACCCAATTAATTTACTATCCCATTCATAGAATTATGTGACCTTTCAAATTATATCCGCTACGTTTCTAATACCGTAATTCAAGCTCAATTGCGCATTATTTTCAAAAAATAAATTTCTTGTCTCCACTTCTGTTCGCAATAAATCGAAGTTTTCAGAAATTCAGAGCACTATTTTTCACTCGCGGCGGTTATGCGTCGGTCATGGTCGGGTGATCACTATGAATTCAGCTTACGTTGATATGTTAGAATACAATATAGCATTTAGAGTGGCGATGAAACGTCACAGCAGTGGGCGTTACCCTGTATGGTTGGAAATTTCGGGTTTGTAAGTGCACTAGTTGGGACTACGTCCCAACTAAAAACTGGCAGTTTTTAGGAACGCAGCTTCCAATACATAATTTATTCATTCTTATATTCAAATTGGACATATTCGGTAAGAATTACATAGATTTCAATAAATTACTTTGATAAAATATTTACCCAAGATTTATCATAGTATATCTTTAAATATATCTATTGTAACTTATTTGGTCACTACTGTCGGTACGAATAAAATTTTCACGCGTTTCGTCCAAGTATAGCGTGAAAATATTGTCTTAACGATGCGTATACACAATATTGTAATGGCCAGTTTTTGTAATGTATATAGTATCTGCACGTGTTAAGCGTGCGATATCGTGTTAGTATATATAGGGGTTTTACAGTAGGTTTAATTCAGTCTACCGGACACTAGCGCATTGTTCAGTCGGTTTTATCCAATTTTTGATATTTGCTGTGCGGACCACGTGGCATTAGAGATGGAAGAAAATCAATTATTGACTAGGATGGAGGCTCTTGTTTCAAATAAGTTGGCTGCTTTTGAAACGAAGATTTGTGAAACGCAGAAACAGCTTGTTGAGGCTCAGATAGCTAAATTTCAACAGAGCTTTGTTTCCAATGACAATTATCAATTTCGAAAGAAAGGAAATGAGGAGCAGTTTAAGATTAATTTCAAAGTGCTGGGCAGTCTACGTGAGGCAGAGGGTCAGCTTAGTGACATGGCAGCTGAGGGTTCGTCAAAAGCAGAGGCAGTTCGGCAGAAAGTTGTCGAAGGTATGAGCACTCTCATTCACCGTCAAAAACTAATTATGTTAGCTGACTCAACTGATTTGGGCTGGAGGGTTGTAAATGAATACGAGGCACACCCGCTAGCCGAAGATTCGGATGATGAAAAGAAGATCTATCGAGCCCAGCTACATGCGGACCGTAAAGCCAATCAGGAAAGACGGGCCAGGACTAAGCGGAATGCTCCATATGTAGTTTCGGCAACCAGTTCACAATCGGCCGTGACGTCACCTTCAGGCTCACGTATTCAGACGATAGGTCGAAAACCGGGCTTGTGTTTTCGTTGTGGGAAACCAGGGCATTGGCAGGCGGACTGTAAGATGAGATCTACGGAGGTACAGGATGCTAAAGCGTCTCAGATAAGTAGATTTTATGTAAATCCTGTTTCATTGTTGAATAATTGGTCAAATAAGAAAGTTTTTGATAGTAGATCAAGAGAGAACAATGAAAAGGTTCTATCTCCAGTTGGCAAACTGCGGGAAAATATTTCCCATTGGGAAAAAGCAGGCGCAAGTAGCTTTGTATTAGAGGTTATAAAAGAAGGCTTTAAGCTGCCTTTGAAAGTTTTACCTGAGAAAAAAGTTTTAAAAAATAATAAGTCTGCGCTGGAAAATCGTATTTTTGTTTTGGAAGAAATTAGAAAATTATTAGTCAAGGGGTGTATCACAGAGGTTACAACTGCCCCACATGTAGTTAATCCTTTAACCGTTGCTTTTAGCAGGTCCGGGAAGCCCCGTTTGGTATTAGATTGTAGACACGTGAATCTTGATTTGTTCAAATATAAATGTACATTTGAAGATCAATCGGTAGCAAAATCATTATTTTCTACAGGAAATTACTTATTTACATTTGATTTAAGGTATGCTTACCACCATATTGAGATATTCAGAAACCATCGAACTTTTTTAGGGTTTTCATGGGAAGAAGATGGTATAAAAACATTTTACATATTTAATGTATTGCCTTTTGGTATATGTGTAGCAGGGTATATCTTTACAAAAGTATTAAGGGAAGTTGTTAAGTATTGGCGCTCTACGGGCCATAGGATTGTACTTTTTCTAGATGATGGTATGGGAGGGGACGTTTCCTTTCAAAAATCTTCTGTTTTGAGTGATTTTATTAGACATGACTTGCAGGCATTTGGGTTTTTATTAGCAGACGATAAATGTTTTTTGGTACCTTCTCAAACTGTCGTCTGGCTTGGTTTTGTTTGGGATACACAATTAGGCAATATATCTGTTACAGATGAAAGAATAAAACGTTTTGAGATTTTGTTATGTTCTATTATTAAGAATGTGAGTGAGGGTACAACTTTAATTCATGCACGAAAGTTGGCGTGCCTCATTGGCCAGTTAATGTCTATGAAAAGTGTTGTAGGACAGATAGTGAGACTGAGGTCACGTGCTATGTATGCATGTTTGAATCAAATGGCGAGCTGGAATGCTCTTGTTTCTATAAATGCTGATGCTTTATCAGAAATGTTGTTCTGGAAGGAACATATTAAAAAATTGAATTTTTGCGATATAGATAATGCAGTTAATTCGTGTATGTACGAGAGTACAGTGTTCACCGATGCAAGTGACGTCGGTTTTGGGGGCTATATAGAGGGTGTGACCGATAGCGAGGTCACCGGAAGTTGGTCCGAGTCCGAGAGTATGACTAGCTCCACGTGGAGAGAACTTGAGAGTGTAAACAGGATGCTATTAAGTAATCTTAATGGTCTAAAGGGGAAATCTGTTATATGGAAGACTGATAATAAAAACGTACCGGTTATTCTCAGTACTGGTAGTTCTAAGCCGCATTTGCAAAAAATTGCTTTGAATGTAGATGAAATTTGCAGAAGAAGTGAAATCATTTTACTGCCTGAATGGGTACCTAGGTCGATAAATACAGAGGCAGATTTTTTGAGCAGGTGCTGTGATAGCGATGACTGGGCGGTGCTTGATTGGATATTTTTTGCACTTGAACAGAAATGGGGGCACCACTCTATTGATAGGTTTGCTTGCGACTTTAATACGAAGTGTCAGGCTTTTAATTCGAGATTTTGGTGTCCTAATACAAGCGGTATAAATGCTTTTAAACAAACATGGACGGGCCATGTGAATTGGTTGGTTCCACCACCTAGGCTTATCATTAAATGCATAGAAAAAGCTATTTCAGATAGGTGTACTTGTACGCTGATTGTTCCCATTTGGAGATCTGCAAATTATTGGCCGTTAATATTTCCGAACGGAAAAGATTATGCTTCGTTTATTAAAGACAGTGTAAGAATTATAGTTCTTAATTGTAAATTTATTTATTATAATCACATAATTTTCATAGTTTGATTTTTTCGATAGTATTTACTATTAAAAACATTGTTTGACTCTTTCAATTTAACATAGCTTCACTATTTCCGCCAAACGTAACGTCTTATTTTGTTTCCCGTAAAAAGACGTCATTAAATTGTTTTACGGTGACGTCATTAACCGTTACTTTGATATGTTGTTTTGCCTTGGGCGGAAGTGCTTAAATTGTTGATGTGTTTTGTTTATTGATGTTTTCCAATGGAAAGTAGATCATAATCGGTAAGCAAGTTATTAATTATGTATGAATTTTAATAGTAAATTCAATATTGTTTAAATGATGATGAACTTTACAATATTTGCCGTGAATTAAATTATAAACGGAATTATTCGCGGAAATATAAAATAACAATATTATTTTAATAGATTTAAGTCTATAATTGTAAAGGTGATATCGTATATTTATGATTTGTATTAGCATTATTATTTTAGACAATTTATTGTATTTTATTTTAAATGCGTTGTAATCAGTATTTAGTTTGTTTATTTATTATTTTCAGAGAATCGCATTGTTGTATCACATTGATATATTATTCCATGAATGAGAATAAAGAAAAGTGTTGAAATCTGCGCATTCTTGACTATTTTTAACGGAAAACATCTACAATTCTCGATTTTACTGTGACGAAAATGCCGTCAACAAATAGTGCGGAAACTTGTAATCAGGAGTTTGTCAGTTTGAAGAGATCAAGAAGTGCAAATGGCGCTCAACTGACGAAACTATACAATGAACTTGAAAAGAGCATGATGTCCTACAATAATATAGAAGAGGTAAAACTACTGAACAATAAGTTATGTGAACGCTTTGAACATTTCAAATCAGTGCATTTACAATGTTTAGATTTGTGCGCGCAACCGGAAGTTGTTGCAGACTTGGAAGCGAACTTTGAGAGCTGTTTAAAGAACTTTGAAGAATTCAGGGAAAGATTTTCTCAGTGGATCGCGGGAGCTATTGGACCGCAAGATGGAGAAAATATTCCTATAGAAAATGACGCAGAGTCAAATGTCAGCCATGGAAGTTCACGTACTTCAGTCTCGTCGCGCCGGAAATTACAAAGTGCTAAAGCAAAGCGTTTAATAGCAGAACACAAATTAAAACAACTTAAAAAGAAACAAGAACTTGAACGAGCTCGCCGGGATCTTGAAATGAAACAACTGGATCCAGTTGTTCAAAACCTTGGTTAGTGTTAACCAGTGGTTAAATTCATTATCCGCTGGTTAAATTTTGTCTGCTGGATAGATTCTGTTGCTCAAAACTTATCCAACGGATAAAATGCGTTATCCAGCGGTTAACTTTAACCAGTCCTATGACCACCGGATAATGCCCTTAACCAGTGGTTAGTCATCATCATTAAAACAGTAAAAATCATTAAAACTTGTTTAAAACCAGATTTTTCTTACAAATATATGTTTATTTTTCTTAACTAGAACATTTCATATGAAATGCATAGGATTAAATTGAAACATTTCTAAAAAAGTGCTTTTAGAACCCTTTTTCAATCTAAATTTGTTGTTGTTGTAGTTCAGAAAATTCAGTTAAACAGTCATAACTTTCTTATTTTTTAATAAAACATACAAGTGTCAGTACTCATTTTCTTAGTTAGAACATTACCCATCTAATGGAAGTAATTTCAATTCAAAATTTGAAAAAAAGTTGTTTTTGAATTTTTTCTTATGTGTGTCTAAGGGAAAAATAAATCTATCAATACTTTAAGGCCTCTGATATACTTTTTGTTTAATTCCAAAAACAAGAAAGCACAAAACATGCAAAATTATTTTTTGGGAGCTTTTTGATTCTAATAAATTTATTATTCATAAAAAAATCAGCCATTTTGTTTCCAGAATCACTAACCAACCCTGTTGCATTGTGGTACTTAACCAGTGGATAAATACGCTATCCACTGGTTAGGTAGCCAGTGTACTATCCAACTATTGAACAATGAAATTTTATTCACTGGATAGCTGGCCGCTGGTTAAGGATTTAGCCAGTGGATAAGCTATCCATTGGTTAATTTTAACCAATGTTTTGAACAACCCGGTCCAGTTGTTAGATCAGCAGTCGAAATTAGAAGAAGCCGAGATAGAAGAAATGGTGTGGTTAGAAACAACACAGGAAGAAACCGGGGTCATTTCTAACAATCAAAATGCTCAGCCTGACGTACAAAATGATATGACTAATCATATTCAGGTGAACAACCGTACGGATTCTGTGAGAAATATAAATTTGACACAGCCCAGACCGGAAATGAACAGATCGTGTATACCGGAAGTTGACAGTGAGACATCAAACATAGACAGATCATTTCAAAGATTGGCGTCAGCACTCCATGAAGGATTCAACTTACCGAAGCCAGAACTATTGACATTTGATGGGAAGCCTGAAGGATACTGCAAATTTATCAAAAACTTTGAAACAAACATTGAAAGCAGAATAAGTGACAATAATTTAAAGCTAAGTTATCTCATTCAGTATTGTACAGGTAAGGCAAAATCTAGTATAGAAGATTGTGTTTTGTTAGAACCGGAAGAAGGTTATAAACGTGCTAGGTCAATATTATTGTCTAGATTTGGCAGACCACATTTAATTGCAAGGTCTTACATTGATAACTTGGTAAATGGTGCTCAGATTAAAGCGTCCGATGTTGAAGGGCTATCTAAATTATCTTTAGAGATGCAGAAATGTGAAATTACACTTTCTCAGTTAGGATTTTCCTCTGATATTGATAATACAGAAAATTTAAGATGCATTGTTAGGCGGCTCCCAACACATATAAGGGTAAAATGGGTAGAAGTAGCACATAATATAAATGAGTCAGGTAGAGTGCCGCGCTTTTCAGATTTGTCTAAATTTGTAGACGAAAAATCACGTATCGGTAACTCCATGTATAGCTATGATCTTTGTAAAAACAATGATTTTATCAAGAAAGAAACCAGAAACAGTTCTGGCAAATATTACAGTAATGATAGACCAAAGGTTACTACTCTAAATACACATACTGAAGAAAACGGTCATGAAAGTAGTAAATGCATTTGTTGTTCAGGTAACTGTGCAGAGTTATCACTGTGTAACAAGTTCAAGTCAATGAGTCTCAATGATCGTTATAAACTGGTAAGATCACTTAAATTGTGTTACAATTGTTTAAAAGGTAAACATTTTACAAACAAGTGTAGAAAACCAAAAATATGTAATGTTACTAATTGTAATGTCAAACACCACATTTTATTACATAGTTGGGTAAAACCCGATAATGGCCACACAGCAGTGCAGTCGTCGTGTAACTGTGCAGCAACAGAAGGTTCTACTGTAAAAAATTGTCTGGGTATTATTCCTGTAATAGTTAGGGGTGGGGACGGTAGTTCTTGTCAGACATATGCCCTGCTAGATGATGGGGCCGATAAAACCTTATGTGATGAAAGATTGTTACGGAGCCTGAATATAACCGGTAAGCCCGTCACATTCCGGATGTCTACGGCAAACTCACGTGAAGGTATTATACATGGTCAGGAGGCCGACTTAGATATTCAACCTATCGATGGAAATGAAAGTATTACCCTAAGAAAAGTCTGGTCAGTAAAGTCATTACCGATATCAACTCGATCTGCAGCTAAATATGCAGATATCCGAAACTTACCGTACTTATCCGGTATAAATATTCCAGATATAGACACTATTGACGTTATGATGTTAATAGGGACGGATTCACCTATTGCACATATACCGCTAGAAGTGAAATTCGGAAATAGCGATGAACCGTACGCGATACGCACTCGTCTTGGATGGGCTATACGCGGTCCAGTCCCAACTATGAAAGAATCCAACGATATTAATATAAATTTCTTTGAGTCACGTGACATGTTGTTACAGCAACAAATTGATCGTTTGTGGACAGCTGACTTTAATGATAAATCACAAGTGAAGAGTTGCATGTCTGTAGAAGATAAAAATGCTATGAAATCCATGGAGTCAACTTTAACTCGCGAGGATGGTCATTACAAGCTTGGTCTTCCTTGGCGTGATGGAAATTCATCATTCGTAAATAATATACCGCTTGCTCAAGCCAGATTACAGCAGTTGAAGCGCAAGTTGTCAAGTGACAATAATTTGCATGATATGTACAGAACTACTGTAAATGGTTACATTGCAAATGGATATTCATCGGATGTAGATCACATGGTATCAGAGAAAACGCGTGTTTGGTATACGCCGCATCATCCAGTAACAAATGTATACAACGCTTCTGAGACAGACAAATTAGATGTTTGGCTGCATGGACCAACATTTCTTAGTAAAGGTAGGGAACACTGGCCTAAGTATTCAGGTAATAATATCCCGGAAGTGAGTGAAGATGATGTCGAGGTTAAGAGAGAAATTGCTATTAACGTTACCACTTGTGATACTATTGGGAAGATAATTGAATACTACTCTGATTGGTTCAAACTTAGACGTGCAGTGGCATGGTTTTTGAGATACAAGGATTATTGCAAACAGCGATATCTGCATCATGATGTAGTGGTTGAAAAAGGTAATCTCACCTTGTCTGAACTTAAGACATCTTCTCACGCAGTTGTGAAATACGTTCAGATGGAATGCTTTGCCGAAGAGGTAATAAACTTGCAAACAGGAACTCATGTTAAAGGTGAAAGTCCGATAGCTTCATTAAATTCAATACTTAAAGATGGTTTAATACGTACAAAAGGACACATTATTTACCATGATGAAACGAAATGTCAAATCATTCTACCGAAACGGCATCATTTAACTACTTTAATGATACGTTTTTACCACGAAAGTCAAGGTCACGTCGGAGTACAACAAGTTTTAGCAGCTACACGAACAAGATACTGGATAATAAATGGACATAGCGCTGTCAAACAGGTAGTAAGGAATTGTGTACCATGTAAACGCAAGAACAATCCGCTTTGTAAGCAACAGATGGGACCGTTACTTGATGAGCAAATCACACCAGATAAACCACCGTTTTCATTTATCGGCATAGACTTTTTTGGTCCTTTGATGGTAAAATCAGGAAAGTCACAAGTAAAGAGATATGGGTGTATTTTTTCTTGTTTAACATCAAGGGCCGTCCATTTAGAAGTTACTCATAGTTTGAGTACAGATTCGTTTATCGCCGCATTGCAACGATTTATTAGCCGGAGAGGTCTACCGGAAAAGGTATATAGTGACAACGGAACCAATCTAGTAAGTGGAGATTGTGAATTACGCAAGTCCTTACGAGAGTGGAATCAATCCGAAATTGGACAATTCATGTTGCAGCGGGAAATCGAATGGAACTTTAACCCTCCGTCAGCTAGTCACATGGGCGGTATATGGGAACGGATGATACGATCGACACGTGCAATTTTGAGATCGTTAGTCAAAGAGCAGCTTCTGACAGATGAACAACTTCTTACTGTTGTAACAGAGGTTGAAAAAATACTTAATGATAGACCCATTACCCGAGTAAGCGATGACCCAAAAGACCCCCCAGTTTTAACTCCAAGCATGATTTTATTACTAAAGTCCAATACATGTATTCCACGTGGCATTTTTAGAAAAGAAGATACATATGCAAAGAGAAGGTGGAGACAGGCTCAGTATCTTGCTGATATATTCTGGAAACGATGGATTCGGGAATATATACCTACCCTACAATCTCGACAAAAATGGCTGAGACCACAAAGAGATATCCGTGAGGGCGATATTGTACTCGTGGCTCAGGAAAACATACCAAGGGGGCAGTGGCCGTTGGGCAGGGTTGTAACTATAAATGTGGGTCGGGACGGGCATACACGAAGCTGTGTGGTCAAAACTAGTATGTCACAATTCTTAAGACCAATAACTAAACTTTGCCTACTAGAATGTTCTATTTAAGTAAAGGTATACATTACAATAAGCTATTGTTTGTATAAGATGAAATCGTAACGTTTCATGGTGGGGAGTGTAAGAATTATAGTTCTTAATTGTAAATTTATTTATTATAATCACATAATTTTCATAGTTTGATTTTTTCGATAGTTTTACTATTAAAAACATTGTTTGACTCTTTCAATTTAACATAGCTTCACTATTTCCGCCAAACGTAACGTCTTATTTTGTTTCCCGTAAAGAGACGTCATTAAATTGTTTACGGTGACGTCATTAACCGTTACTTTGATATGTTGTTTTGCCTTGGGCGGAAGTGCTTAAATTGTTGATGTGTTTAGTTTATTGATGTTTTCCAATGGAAAGTAGATCATAATCGGTAAGCAAGTTATTAATTATGTATGAATTTTAATAGTAAATTCAATATTGTTTAAATGATGATGAACTTTACAATATTTGCCGTGAATTAAATTATAAACGGAATTATTCGCGGAAATATAAAATAACAATATTATTTTAATAGATTTAAGTCTATAATTGTAAAGGTGATATCGTATATTCATGATTTGTATTAGCATTATTATTTTAGACAATTTATTGTATTTTATTTTAAATGCGTTGTAATTAGTATTTAGTTTGTTTATTTATTATTTTCAGAGAATCGCATTGTTGTATCACATTGATATATTATTCCATGAATGAGAATAAAGAAAAGTGTTGAAATCTGCGCATTCTTGACTATTTTTAACGGAAAACATCTACAGACAGTTTTCAGTTCAAGCCTGGCGTGTTGACTAGGCGTGGTAGGGGTAGGAACGGTATTTTTGATGGGAGGCCTTTAAAATTTGGGTTGATGGCGTTAAGAATAGAAACAGGTGTTTAATTTCGTTTTAATTTTTCAGGTTTGAAAATAGAAGAGGCTATCATCGACAACATATATGAGGCAGGTGTATCTCCAGAAGGTTTTGGTGACTTACCTCGTAAAATGGCTGGACAGCTATCGAATTCCCGTAGTGATAATACAAACGTTAAATATTTGTCATATTTTAAAAAGTGGGAAAATTTCATCAAAGAAAAGGGAGGAAACTCTGTACCTGCGTCACCTATACACATAGCTTTATATTTGACTGATCTTTTGGATAAAATGAATTCGGCTAGTGTTATTTCAGCGACTGTATATAGCATTAAATGGGCACATGGTTTAAAGGGACTTCCGGATCCCAGTGACAATTTGTTTGTTAAAAATTTATTAGATTCTGCGAAACGAACTCACGTTAAAGTAGTTAACATAAATAAGCCTTTAAATGCAGAAGTATTGATACGCATTTGTAACGAATTTGAAAATTCTAGAGATATTTTAATTATAAGAGATTTATGTATGATTCTTTTAGGTTTTTCGGGTTTTCTGAGATTTGATGAACTTAGTTCACTGAAATGTAATGATGTAAAATTTTTTGAAGATTATATGTCTCTTAAAATTTCAAAATGTAAAACTGATCAATATCGTTTAGGTAGCGAAGTTGTTATTTCCAAAGGCAAAACCGTTGCATGTCCTTTTAACATGTTAAAACGTTATTTGTTAATTACTGAACAAGATGTTTCTGATGAAAAGTTTTTATTAAGACCTTGTTTTAGATCAGGAAATATTTGTAAATTGATTTACAAGAATAAGCCGTTAAGTTATACAAGGGCTAGAGAGTGCATTTTAGAAAGGTTACGTCCTTTTACAGGTAATTTAAATATTGGCTTGCACTCGCTTAGATCCGGTGGAGCTACCGTAGCTGCTAATGCCGGGGTAAATGATAGGTGTTGGAAGCGTCATGGTCGGTGGAAGTCCGATAGTAGTAAAGATGGCTATGTTGCGGATTCTTTGTCTAGACGACTTGAGGTTTCTAAGATGCTTCTTCTTTAATTGACTCGGACACTTATAAACGCTACGTGAACGTAAAGCCCTTTATTTTTAATGTCTACATGCTTGTCCGGCAAAGCATTTATGAGTTTGTTTTTATATTGGTCCTTTATTAAGGTTATTGTAAAGAGTGAAGGAAAGACTAAAATTTTCACGCGTTTCGTCCAAGTATAGCGTGAAAATATTGTCTTAACGATGCGTATACACAATATTGTAATGGTCAGTTTTTGTAATGTATATAGTATCTGCACGTGTTATGCGTGCGATATCGTGTTAGTATATATAGGGGTTTTACAGTAGGTTTAATTCAGTCTACCGGACACTAGCGCATTGTTCAGTCGGTTTTATCCAATTTTTCTTTTAAGTATAATATTATGACTTAAGGTCAAGGATTGGATATCTATATTGATTATCTGCTGCAATTATTGATAAAAAAAATTAAAAAAAAATTTAAAGTTTATATCAGGCATCATTTTACGCTATTGTAGACAAACATATGGAGCTTAAATATTTATTTTATCAATTTAGATTGATCAGATTGGTTTATGTTGCATTTTCTTTTTAATGTTATATTATATGTATAATGTTCAGAAAAAAAAATGAGATAATAAGCAGGTTAGATGTATGTAAGAGTGAGTCCCAACACTCAGCGGTGTGACATTTGACAAATGGGAACAGGTTTCCAGAGTAAATTTCTTTCAAAAGTAAAAGTTTTTTATCTCTGGTTTTTCCTGGGCGAGTCAACCGTGATCATTATTAGAGTATTGTGAAATTTGTGAATGGTTTTGTATCATGAGAAATAACAATCATTTGTTGATTCATATGTCTATATTTTGTTGTCGAATGATGAGCCACGTGATCTAACAATACATGCTTGTCCGGCAAAGCATTTATGAGTTTGTTTTATATTGGTCCTTTATTAAGGTTATTGTAAAGAGTGAAGGAAAGACAGTGACTGTTACATGAGTGACAAATTCAATGTAAATCTCAGTAAAAGTTATAACAATATATCCCTACATAGATGTGAATCGTTCTTAATGACTTATATTATATATTTTACAAAATTCTGATTGGGATTGTAAAGGCAGAGCCGTGTGTTATTATTCAGAGACTTCTCTGTATATTAGAGGCTTTGTTTATTCATAATAGGTAGGGATCATTATGATTATGTTAAAATGACTGACATAAAATTTAGGGACAGATTTCATTTTTGTTTTTAAATAATACAAAAAAAACAGAAATGTAAATGGTGTTTATCATCATATTTGACAGGGTTATACATTAAATAAAGCATAAAAGGAATTTCTACAGTTCAATTGTCAATAGATTTGTTAAATTTTCACAAATACTGTTATTTTTGTATAGGGACAGCACTAATAATTTTATTATTACCCCTCACTTTTTTCGTAATGCTAATTTCCCATAGGCCTCTGGGAGTTATTTTTACTGTTAATGCAAGTGTACCACGTGACTAAGAATTTTGTACTGTTACATAGGTAACAGTTTTTTTAAGAGGTCACATGGTCTATTTCCTAAATAAAATGAAATAAAATGGCCTCCATTTTTTTCTCGACTCATTCTTATTTTCAACGTTAAACCCCGATAGGACATCAATTTCTCCTCTGAAGTCCCTATGACACTCATAAAATTTAGTTGTTTGCACCCTGGAGTGCTTTTCGCGTATAAAATACCTTTTTGCTGAATAGTCAAAAAGTGAACATCCGTTTTCAACGGAAGTAATTGCATTGTAAATAATTATGTGTCAAACTGGAACATGCAGACGATTTAAGCATGCAACAAAGGATTATTTAACAAATTTAATCAGTGAATGATGGACATAGGATATCATCGTTATTTTGTCAAAAAACCATGCTAAGAATATTCTGGAAACAGACGGATCAGATTTCACAGATCATAACCGTGTAAATGGGTTAGTGTTTTGTTTCCTAAATAAAACCTAGCTTATTGTATGTTTATGATTTGTAGATATCATCACTTGCTTAAAGAATAAAAGAAAAAGAAAACTTCTCAAGTAGGCCTACAGTAAAGTACACTTTAAACTTAAAATGTAAGGACAGGTTAGTTATTGTTACTCTTGGTTTATTTTTGTTACAGTTAGATTAAGTTGACAATTTCAGATCATCTCAGTACTTTTGTCCGGGGTAATAAAATAAATCACACATGGGTTTGTGAGTAACAGTAAAAATATCATCCCTCGTAAAATTACTGTTACCCGAGGCGCAGTATTTTCCTCGGGATGATATTTTTACTGTTACCCACAAACCCATGTGTAATTTATATATTGTCACTTCTGATAAATTTTTGAAGGTTTTATATAACCGTTAAAAACTGTAAATTGTTGAAATTATGAGATTTCAGCTGAACATTTCATGTCCATTTGCATTTTCAGTAAAAATCTCTTACATATACAAAGTTTTTGCCTGGTGCGAAAATATAGAATCACTCTATACATGTACAAATGCTCATATTTTCCGCACATTTATGTATTGTCCAGGTCAAGCAAATATAACTGGCAAGACGAACTTGTTTGGTATGAGATAAAAAAAACAACACTTAGGTTGAATGAAATAGGGCATTTATTAAATGCCATAAATGACAAATGTTACATAATAACAAACATGACAAATGGTATACATAATAACAAACATGGCATGTATATATTTGTATCGAAATAACCAAACTGGGAGGTAAAAACCGCCAGATTATGATAACATTGTAATGTAATTCAAATAGATTACAATCTTAACAAAAGTTATGTAAGATGACAAAGTTGAACCAAAAACCATCTACATAAATATAATAAAATGGATTGCTGATCAAAAACAATTGACCAGAAAAAATAAATATTTTCCAAATCGTGGTCGACTCGCCCAGGAAAAACCATAGTTTGGAAACCTGTGCCCTTTTATCTTGTGTCTAGTACCACTTGATGTAGGGCTCCATCCTTGGAAAATATTTTAAACATTCTATACATTAATAAGTGTATTACATATGACTAGATCATAAGTATTTATGACAACAAATAGAAAAATATTTGAAAGAGATAATATAACATCGACTAGTTTTATAAATCTTTGCATGAACAATATACATAATATTATATACATATATATAGTGTATATCATGAATAGTTGCACAAAAAATTGAGATAAACAATAAGTGAAACAACTGATTCATTAAGAATAAATGAAATGGTATTTATATCAACATCAAAAATTGAAAGAGGAGGATGGAGTTGGAGGAGGTGGATTTTAGTAAACAGAAAGGCGAGAATCATTCCTCGCCAAAATTATTTCTTTGTGATAGATCTAATGTAATCATTGGTTAATTAACATCACATGATTTAAGTCTTGATATCGATTGGCTAAGACGTACTTGGCTAAAACCTGACCCGTAATGGCTAAAACCTGACCCGTAATATTCTGTACAGTAATGAGAATAGGGACAGAACAATGACATAAATTATTTTATGTGGGCATAAAATCTATTTTATGTATTGTCCAGGTCAAGCAAATATAACTGGCAAGACGAACTTGTTTGGTATGAGATAAAACACAACACTTAGGTTGAATGAAATAGGGCATTTATTAAATGCCATAAATGACAAATGTTACATAATAACAAACATGACAAATGTTACATAATAACAAACATGGCATGTATATATTTGTATCGAAATAACCAAACTGGGAGGTAAAAACCGCCACAAAGGGAACCCTCGCCACCCAGAGAGACTTGACTAGGGATGAGCTTGAACTGTAATAAGGATTGAAACAGAGGGGCTAAATTTGCCGAAGTTACCATTAATTTAATCAAGTCATGTTAGGACAAAAATGTTACGACAAATCATATATCTAATGACAATATTATAATATGTGTAGAATTAATGTCTAACATTTAAATGGATCCTGACTGGTTCTTTAAATATATGTGGACTGCAGCCTTAAACTGTCAGGCACATTACAGGATATGCTATTGTAAACCAGCAACTGAGTTAATAGACCAAATAATTAGCTGTGAAAATACTTATAACAATTACATTATATATGTATTATTGAGACATCCGACAGTATGCATTATCAGGGCTGTTTCAACGTCTAACTGGTTGTAACAAATAGAGGTAGCATGAATCAAATTTATAGAAGTTTCAAATTATGTGTAATGGAAAAATTTTACAAGATATACTAGTCATCAATGACAATGAAACTAGAAAAAATTCTTTTTAAATTAGAAATTAGGAATGGACTATTATTGTATCAGCAACCAGATATCCTTCAATGGTGAACAGCCAAAATTGCATGGCCATGGCTTCCAAGTTGCAGTCATCAAACTTAGCACAGGCCCCTAGCCTGTGAAACTTAGTTCATGAAGTGAAAAATATACAAAAATTTAGTTAAATATATAGTAGTATGAATTCAAAACTGGAATTTGGGCTAGTAGATTGTAAATTAAAATCTTTAATGCATAGACTGGAGTATGTCAACAGTGCGTGGCACCTTAGACATTTAAACATACACATCTCCTATGTAAGGTATGTGACATGTTGAATTTCAGTTAGTATCTTCAATTTGCGTAAGCCCTAGCGGATATGCCAATTCTTTCGAATCATTTATTCCTTAAACCTTTAAAATGCATTAGACCAAAATAGATGTAAATGTCAATTTGTTCGCTATACGTTTTTCCAATTATCAGGTAAGACCTAATGTAGAATTGAAATCAAAATTGTAAAATATCTAATTAAACCTTATTTATGCATTTGATCTAAATACATGTGAGTCTGACGTGTCTAATGTTAACTTGTTCATTATATGATTGTTGCATGAAAAATATAAATTAATGTATAAATTAAGGGTAAATAGAAAAAGTTTCTATACAAGACTAGACTCTTCCAAAAAATTATAAAGTAACAAGACCTTTGAACAAGATGTGAATGTAAACATTTCTACAATAATACATAAAAACCTTCAGTACAAATGTACTTATAACATTTACATAAATCCATTCAACTAGTGATATTAATATCATGCAGTAGCATGAACTCAATCTGAAATTATATGTATGATTAATTATGAAACCTGCAGCCTTGTACTGTCAGATTTATAAAACCTTAATGAAGCCAAATTGTGCATATCTGCCACAAGGTATACATGAATAGGAATACCGTCATACACATTATTATGGCACGAAAGAAATAAACTTCGGCCTTGCACCATCAGCAAGGAGAAAACTGCAGCCTTGAACTGTCAGTTATTTGAAAGATTGTAATGACACTCAGTTTGCAGTAATTCACTGTCTTTTTTTTATAATATCTAAAGAACTGCTGCCTTATACCGACAGATCATAAATTACCAAAATAAAAGTGGAAAACTGTAACCTACAGTATGTCCAACGTACTGCAGCCTTGAACTGTCAGTAATTTGAAAGATTGTAATGGCACTCAGTTTGCTGTAATTCACTGCTTTTTCTATATATAAAGATCTGCTGCCTTATACCGACAGATCTTAAATTACGAAAAATTAAAGTGTAAAACTGTAACCTAGATTAATTAAAAACTTATGTATTTAAGACATGATGTGGAAATCTCCCGCGGCCTTTTATAAAGGCTGTTCCTGACTAGATATTGGACATTTTTCTTGCGCGGGCTAGTAGGGTTCCCATACATGATTAATTTGAAAAAGAACTTCTGGCATGATGTGACAATGTATCTATGTACAATTAAAATCCAATTTCATATCAAATTAAAGCATCAGCCGTGCAGAATGGATAAAATAAACTAAGCCAAGCTGACAAGACAGTACATAATTTGAGACTTGAAAACAAATTGCAAAGCATTTAAACTAAGCAATGCACACTATTAAAATTTATGAATGAAGGCAAATCGCGTCAACTAAGCAATGCCTAATACAGCAATGGTATGCTGAAATAATATCAAGGCGTGTAAACTAAGCCAAGCTGACCAGTACAGACAAACAAATGGCAAAGCGTGTCAACTAAGCAATGCCTAATACAGCAATGGTATGCTGAAATAATAGCAAGGCGTGTAAACTAAGCCAAGCCGACCAGTACAGACAAACAAATGGCAAAGCGTGTCAACTAAGCAATGCCTAATACAGCAATGGTATGCTGAAATAATAGCAAGGCGTGTAAACTAAGCCAAGCTGACCAGTACAGACAAACAAATGGCAAAGCGTGTCAACTAAGCAATGCCTAATACAGCAATGATATGCTGAAATAATAGCAAGGCGTGTAAACTAAGCCAAGCTGACAAGTACAGACAAACAAATGGCAAAGCGTGTAAACTAAGCAATGCCTAGTACAATAATGGTATGTTGAAAGAATAGCAAGGCGTGTAACTAAACCAAGTTGACAAGACAAGTACAGAATCTACTTGAAGGGTGTACTGTGTAGGTTTTTGAGAAGAAGCTATGACGGTTGCCATGAATATAATTTTTTTTTTCTTGCATAATGAATATTTACCTTGGTTTATAAAAGGTGTAATTATAAGCTTAGCAAGCATAATGAATATTTAACTTGGTTTATAAAAGGTGTAATTATTAGCTTAGCAATCTGAATACCATTACTTCTTATGTTATTTCAACTGTCTTGGGCAATAAATATGAATTTCCTTGAAGCTGTGTAAAACATGTATGCCAACATCAGTTTATTCATTATCTGACTCAACCTTGAAACCTATGAAACATGTAATGAAAGGCTGCTAATGTACTGATGAAAGCATTGTCTTAGGTCCCAGGTCCGCTTGCACTATTAATTCAACGATAATGATTGCTCCCTCGACTAGTCTTGGTTTTTGCAGGATTTACTGGACATTCTTGGTGTTTGGCTTTTCCTTGTTGAGGACCTGAATAACAGGTGTAAGGAGAATTTGTGGCCGTTTCATCTGAAAAATATGAATTATTTTGTCATTAAGGTAGACTAAATGTATGAAATGTAATTGATTATTAAATTAATTCTGACTACATTGTGCGTGATCCATAAGCATAATCATGCAAACATGGACTATAGACTAAACCATGTATAATAGAACCTGTAAACTAACTCACACGAAATGTAAACTCAACTATGTGTGAAAAAATAAGCGAGAACTGAAAACTATATCAAGCAGACATGATCATAGACTAAACCATGTATAATAGGATAATTATGTGTGAACTATAAACTAAATCACACTCGCACTGACTGTAAACTAAACCATGTGTGAAAAAATAAGTGTGAACTGTAAATTAAATCACGCAGACATGGGCTTTAAACTAAACCATGTACCATAGGATATGTGTGAACTATAAACTGAATCACACTCACATGGACTGTAAACTAAACCATGTGTAAATAGGCGTGAACTGTAAACTAAATCACGCAGACATGGACTATAAACTAAGCCATGTATAATATGATAAGTGTGAACTGTAAACTAAAGCACACTCACATGGACTGTAAACTAAACCATGTGTAAATAGGCGTGAACTGTAAACTAAATCACGCAGACATGGACTATAAACTAAGCCATGTATAATATGATAAGTGTGAACTGTAAAGTAAATCACACTCACATGGACTGTAAACTAAACCATGTGTAGAAAATAGGCGTGAACTGTAAACTAAATCACGCAGACATTGTCTATAAACTTAAGCAATGTATAATTGGATATGCGAGAACTCTAAACTCAATCACACTCACCAGGAGTGTAAACTAAACCATGTGTAGAAAATATGTGTGTAAACTAAACCATGTGTATTATCGGTAAACTAAATCACTAAGACATGGTCTATAACCGGAGCCATGTATCATGGGATGTGTGCGAATTGTAATCATTGGTTAATTAACATCACATGATTTAAGTCTTGATATCGATTGGCTAAGACGTACTTGGCTAAAACCTGACCCGTAATGGCTAAAACCTGACCCGTAATATTCTGTACAGTAATGAGAATAGGGACAGAACAATGACATAAATTATTTTATGTGGGCATAAAATCTATTTTATGTTTTGAGAAAATCCCCCATTTTCATATTGTAACAAAGGCGTCTTCTCTTCTAATATTTCAAAATTACCTGCCACTATGCGCACGCATTTTTTGTTTACAATAGGGACCCAGATATCAGAAATGAAAAACCTATTCAAAATGCAGATTCGAAAGGTATAAATTAATAAATTTGAGTTCGTAGATGATGATAATATCAATGTTTGCAATTCCCAAACATGTCCATTCATAAACATCAATAATATCAAAGTTAAAATGTTTAAATACCGCCTGCTGCAAAGGATATTTCGGTGCCTTCCAGGCGGAAGTAGTTAAGTTTATAGTATACTACGAAAAAAAAGTTTGATTTTACAAAAACACCTGTTCTTATATCATACATCACTAATTGACTTTAAATTGGAACGTTATATTTGCCATGTTAAGTGTGTTATATGTCTTGCATGATGTATTTTCTTCTGTTATATAGAGTATTGAAGCTGTAAGATGGTCATATAGGTCTTATAAACCTTATAAACCTTACAAGTTACAATTAAGAGCCTTTCTTGCTGTCAGAAATGATGGAATGTGTCTGTAAGTATAGCCTATAAAACATAAGTGTTCCCTACAGTTCCTTACAATACAGAACTAATGGTAAAGTTAGTGCTGATGTTGTCAAACTATTCTCAGAGGAACATTAGGCTAGAACTCAAAGTGCAAAAAAAGCAGATGGTTAATAATTACTTTATTGAACTAAATCGTATTCTAGTAAAATACAATATTGAAGACAAACCTCATTTGGTATTATGTAGATGGAAAAAGCCATGAGTTCAGAACGCAAACCCCAAAGTTGTTGCTTGTAAATTCAACAAAACACAAGCTGTTACTTCTGGCAAGGGTTTACTGAATACCCTTGTGTGTTGTGTAAGTAGCATTGGCAAACTTATTCGACGATTCTTTGTCTTCTCAGGTGTAAGGATGCTTGATAACTTAATGGAATGTTCTATTCCATATTATGATGGAACCATGAAGTACAATGGTCAGTCTAACACTGAGGGTTTCTGCAAATATATGCAGTATCACCTGCAAAAATGTCTACAAACTAGAGATGAAAATACCCATGTTCTAGTCCGATATGATGGACATAATATGATACTATCCATGTGTCATTGGGTCTTATTTAATGGACAAAATATCAAAACATAATTTATTTGTGTTCTCATCTGCTCCAGCTTTTAGTTGTTTTGGTCTTTTCCAAATAGCTTAGAATGCTTCTTGCTGAATATTGAGGCTGTGTGGTAACAATGTTTAATGTTTGTCGTATTCTCTGCCACGTCTATGCAAGGGTAACGACCCAATATTATCATAAATAATATTAATAAATAAACGAAGTTTAGGGGTGTATATAGGAGTCAGATTGTCGGTCGGTCGGTCGGTCGGTCGGTCGGTCTCTTTCATGGTTTCCGGACGATAACTAGAGTCTGGGTTGAGGTAGTTCTGGCTTCCATAACTTTATATGTCGCTTTTATTTTGACGTTGCGACAGTAAAGTTATGGGTCAACCCTATTTGCAAAGGCTTCCAGAATTTGACAGTTCGTGCGCCGTACATAAAACCTTTTAAAATCACCATTATTAATCAAATTTGGGTCAAATAAAAATACCATTTGATAAACAAATCAATTTTGAACCAATTCATGTTTTGTTTTTAAATGAAACTTCAATGACATTGTGAACCCAACTATTTTTAGAGAAATATGTAGAGAATGTTTACCAATATGGAGTCTGCTTTCAAATGAGATCTCGCGGGACTTCATGTTTTGGAAATTCTAGCATCTATTTTTAGTAACGGACCGTACACTATTTTTACAATAACACAATATAGACTGAAGGGTCCCAAATATATCTAACTACCTGTATTAAAATAGCTTTTGTCCAGATCACGCAAATTTATTGAATTACAGCATGACATAAAAATGTCACGGTTCTGGTTGACTTTCGATACGGGGTTGGCTTCAGCGAACAGGTCTAGCAATACTATAAAACTTGTTCGCTGAAGTATCTTTAGCTAGGGTTGAGGTATTGTAATCAAACACGAATTATAGCGACCTTATGTAGAAACCTCCGTTGGTATTGCATGTGGACCCTCTTTGGGTCAAGGTCAAGATCACCGTTACTAAAAATAGAAAAAAGACCACTGTTTTTTCAAAAAGTCAAAGTTGCTGGTGGGTGAAATAATCACATTCAGTGATAGGTTAAGTATAATTATGTTGTAAGCCTATAATACAGGTGGTGCCAAAGCTCAGTTGGTAAGACCAACTGACTGTCACTCCTGAGGTCCTGGGTTCGATCCTGGCCGGTAACATCCTTGGGATGTTTCAGTTTCAGAGACACTTTCATTGTTTCCCACTTACCTAGAGGTGTACTGGCAAAAAATCTAGGTAACCCTTTCATGTATCAGTGGTAAACATTGGGCATGTGATCTATTCAATAAGAGCTAGGAACTGGTTCCCGGATTCCCTTGAATCTCATAGCTGTCTCTCAATCCAATGTATACCTGCTAAGTGTAATCGTAAAGATTTTGAAGCAGTATTATGTAGATGTAGATATAAAGTACGCATGAATAACTATGTGTATTGTGAAATATATGTATTTTGATGGTAGAAGTTACAATGCACTTTTTTTTATAGTATCCCACCCACTTCTATACAGGTAAGTGTACCTCGCTATATTTTGTGTACATGCATACTTTTGTCAATATGTTTTTAACACCATTCTGATGTTACTGCTGAAAAGTTTCTTATGTCATTGTTTTATGTTGTTTAACTTTGATAACTTCTTTACATTAATACATTTGTTAAAGTGTTTATACGCCTCGATTGTAATTTGACATTAGCATGGCCCAGAGCCATAGATAGCATTTCTCTAAAATTTTCTTTTACTCTTTCCTACATAATAACTGACGAGCAACTGTCAACTCATTCAAAAAACCTTATTCTGAATTTCTAATTGATTTATAAAAAAAGTTCATGAAAACCTTGTAACAGACAACCAAATAAAGTGGATAGATAATAGTGAATTATATATATCAAATGCATCATTTGCTGCTGGCTACTTTATAAATTACAGGTTAATATACTTGGACAGGGCATGGGTGTATAGTAGTCAACAGGTTGTCTATAAATAAGAAGGGAAATTATATAAAATATCTTTAGCACTCCAAGGATAGTAAACAGGACTCATTCAAATACTCTAGAATGTGTACCATTAAAAGTCTGAGGTGTCGAATGCTTGTGAGTAATAATTTGCCGGCACAGCCTGGGGAAAGACCAGGAGCCTTGAACATTTTGGGGTCATAGTTCACCGGAATTGGTGAAGTGAATTCTACATTTTTTGGCCGTTCGGCCATGTCTGAAATTGATAGAAGTTGACAGTTGCTTTAGCAACAATGTGTTTAATATTCTTCACAAAATGATATTGTATTAGACTGTCTATATTTACTTGTGGATTTTAACTATTACTAGTATTTTTAATTAATCATTTAATATCCATTCAAGTCTACCTTCAGTTTTACAGCACTAAACACCAATCTATTGGGGTTCAAAAACATTTCAGAACACAAATAAAACATAATGACTGGCCAGCAAAGTCTCCAGACCTTGATCCAATTTAACATGCCAAGGGCATGCTGCAGACCGCAATATCTGCACGGCCAGTCCAGCCAACTACGGTTCCAGAGCTTCAATTAACAGGCACTTCTGGACAAGTGGGCTCGTAACCCACCACACAGCATTATAGCAGTAATCCAATCAAGTGGCCACCACACTTGATACCAAAGCCCACTTCGGGCACCGTCCTCATTTTTTTCAAGAAAAAAGGCAAAAGGCCTAATCTTTTTTACGTTATATTTAATTAATTATTGCATCAACCAAGTTTCAACTGCTGTTCCGCTTCAACACTTTGTCGGCTTATTTCTTTTCGGCGCAAAACCGATGTCAAATTAACAAATTTTCAGGATCACAGCAAATATTCTAACGTTTCAACATAATGTAAGGAATGAATACAATCTTAGAAGTGGTTTTTAACAAATTTTGGGTAGTATACATCTATATTTCTTTTTCTGAATGTTTTTTTCTCTATTAAATAATTATATTTTATAGTTAAATTACTATTTGGGACGTCTGTGGCCGAGTGAATAAGGTACATGTATTTGGCTTCAAACCCCTTGCTCCTGTCTTCTATAATGCGTGGAGGCACACGTGAGGTTTTCCTTAACCAGTAAAGCTCCAAGTCGACTTCTTAAATTACTACCAATTAAACCAACTAATTTACGTTATCTGATATGCAGTCTTACTGTGTTTCCTCCCTTGTTCGACTTGTTTTCCGTGACAATTTATAGTTTATCGCAGTGTAAAGACGCGTTGAATGTATGCGTCACACTATAAAAATTGTATGAAAGTCACTGTAAAAGTGTTTCTTTTTCGCTGTAAACAGGTCTTATTTTTAGTATGTTATTGAAACAGAATACTATATTCGTGTACATTCGATACTAAATTTATTGAACTAGTTGAATGAAAAGACATTATGCTCGTTCGCCAGAGGTTTGCATATGGTTTTATCGAACTCGTTCATTGAATTTAGTATTGAACCCACACTCATTCAATATCCTCTATATAGTGATCATCATATCGCTGTGAATTATTAAATCTTAGCCTGCTGAATTTGCATTACGGATCTCTTTGATACTGAGCTACTGACAGTAGAGTGCCTTCCTGGTCTGGCTCTATACGGATTGTCAGATCGAGCTGATCAAAGATCGTCTTGTAGAAACAGGTCACGAGAATCTTAAGTGATGCCATCCTTTCGCAAAATATTATATATCCATTTACTATTGCCAAACGTTATTTGAATGGACTTCACTTAAAACGACTTTTAATTAAATTTTGGGGCATCATGGCCCTTTGTGAAGCCGACAACTTCATTCATGTTCTGCTGTCAAGCCACAGTTTGCACAACCCAGGACTAAAATTGAAACGAACCCAGTGAGCGGCAACATTGTGCTACAACTCAAACTCAGATCTGACCTTAAAATTATTTACACAAATGTATCCGATTTTAAGTCATGACCGACTTTGAAATATGGGCGTTGGATAATCACAACGATTCTCTGACCAAAGAAATTGTCTACATCCCAGTCATATATAGTGGCCAGGCAATTTTTATTCAAATATCGCATTTTTAAACCTCCAGATTATTTTTTAATCAATTCTTGTGTTATTTACTTTGAATAAAAATAATTTCACAGCTCGAAGATATTTAATGATGTGTACGACAGATTCCAGAGCGTCTTGATAAACAAGGAGTTAGGGAAGACGTATAAAATTCCTGGTAGGTGTTCAAAAACCGCTTCGCTCCATTGTCATTCACAACAATGGCCTCGTAGAGGTTGAGAAATTGTCTGGCCTATAAGCAGGCATGGATTGACTGCACTTTATCTGTAATCATCAACATTATCATTGTCCTCGGAACAATATATCGCACAGCATGTACGCCATTCAGCTTATTCACATGTGTGATATTAGGCATTAGACGGCTACAATCTGTTAACAACTTCCACACATATATATTCGTCACGTGCATTACATAGTGTTGTTATTTTCAATTATTTTTCTTGACACATAGCTCGCTTCCATAACATCTTTTTTTTATCTCTCTTACAGTGGGGATAAAACAAAAACAATACTTAAGCATAACAATATGATTTTTTTTATTGAAGGTTAAAAATCAAAGTTGGCAATATCCAGGAAGAATGCAGTGAAGGCCAAGCTATCTACGTAAGTTCCGAAGACATAATATACAACATCTCCCTATACACCGAACATCTCCGAACAAGTTTAGTAAACTAAACTGTTTACCGATAATAAAAATGATTACACAATTGTCTATGACACAAAAAAAGTTAAAATTGGTACCAATTTTTAATACAAAATAGTTTGCAATTTACACAGTAAATAAATTTCTGTAAATGATATAAATGAAGATCTTAATATTTGGGCTACAAGTCATTTTTTACACGAAAAAATGATCAAAATAACTTCTATAACAGAACATACACCTTAAGAATGGGGAGATGTTGAAGGTGATGAGCGGAATGGCAGAAGGGGGCTGGATATTGCCATATTTATTTTCTCTTCAATATACAGATGGTTCAGTGTATCATGATGGTAAATGATGCGTGTTTCTTTTTTTATTATCAAGCTTGATGTTAAATACGCTTCAGATAATTTTAGTAAGTCCACTGCGGACCTTATTATAACAATATCTTTTGCCACTCAGGCTCGACACACTTCAACATTGTTAACCCAAATGGCTCCCACATTCTCATTAACATAGCCAAAATTTATTGAGGCTACTTATCATTCGAAACCCTTTTAACACATATCCCTATAAAGCCTTCAATATGACTTGACATCTATTCACATATGGCGTAAAGACAAAGTCAATATAAAAGGACACGTGCGTAAGGAGCGGTGCAGTACCGACAGTTTCCACAACAAGATGTTCTCAGTAAACCGGCAGCTGCTGCAGTTAAAACCGAAAGTTTCCGCAAAATGAAACCTGGTGTATGTCAGAAGCAAGTAACCCCAAAAAGATTTGGCTGAATATAGTCAATCTTTTAATTACATACATACATACATACATACATACATACATACATACATACATACATACATACAATGTTTGTGGTTAAGGCAGGAGACGTTTTCCGTAATAAAAAAAATATTTGTTCAAAGTTATATGTCTGTTAATACATTGTATCATTTAGTAAATATAGCGACTATTTAAAATCCATTTGCTGAATTCTCTGTGCATATGAAAGAAAAAAAGAACACCCACTTAGACCTAACAGTAACATAGCAACACGAAGAGCCTTAAATAAAAAACAGTAAATGAAAGAAAGACCACTGTTGCTTATAATTCTTTCCTGTGATATTGCGGAAAACACACAGATACACATAAATTTACAATACTATATAAGCCGTAAAGCATGTATCAATTACTCTACATCTGTCCTTAAAAATATACAAATAACATTATTAAAGTCTGAAACTTATAAATAAACTTTTCATATTCCATTAAAAAATCACTTCAGCTTTTGTCCGAAAGTTAACATTTTGCATAGAATGTTTTTTTTTTCCATCATCAATAACAGCGAAACAGGGCTTTGTAGAAATGTAAATGAAGTGTATTTTTCTTGTTGTCTGACAAAAGTTGATGTTCTCACATGCCAGCTAACTCAGCAAATGTTTGATCCAATTCGTCACTAATCGCCTTGTACTTCTCCTTTTCAGCAAGTAATTCATCTGAAACAAAAAAACAAATCGAGTGTGAAACCAAAATACAAGCAAAAAACTTTAAACGTCTGTACGATTGAACATTAACGGAAACTGAAGTGCATTAATTGAAACATCTTTTAATTAGAAATTTGAAATACAGCAAATTATTTAGAAAGAAAACTCTTTGACAATGAATAATTTACAAAACTACACGCAATTGTTATTTCATTATTTATAAAGAATTATATACTAGTATATCTAGGAGTTATATAACTAGAAGAACTTCATATCAGTTAATTATAAAATTGAAATACATCAAATTAGTTAACTATAAACTTGACAGAATATACTGTAAATGCATTTTAAATAAAATAGGAACTTAATAGTTCACTGAATGGGGCAGCAACAAAGACATGGAGATTAGAATGAATTTTTATAGAGCCTTTTACATATACAGTTATGTTTGTTACTAAAAGTACGAATAGTAACGATGTAGTGAGAAATCTGAATGTTTTCAATATATAACCACACATACTCTCATATGGGATTTGACAATTTCGATGTGTAAGATCGTTAACAAGAATGTACTTTTGGATCATTCAAAAATTCAATTTCAAATCAATAAATAATAATATGAAATTTGATAACTATCAGTACTACATCCTTGTATTATTTATGAAATGGGCTCGCTTATTATTATATTTGGAAATGAATCCGTGATAATTCAACGGATTTTAGTACGATGGAAATAAACTTGTCGAGATGGTCAGCCTGGCAGTAAAGGAAGAATTTTCCATAACCTATAAAATCTTAAGAGGAAGCAATACAAGTCAAATAACATTTTAGACAGTCCCGTTATTCTTTTATAGGTTTATTGAATACCAAAAAGGAAAGACTATTCATGTTAGTAATCATTGTTATTATTACACAATGCAAGAAAACAACAACAACCATCATCTAGTCTAATAAATAATATCAAAACCATTCTTTTGTTAACCAAATGCAAGTATTATTTTCCCTGAAAATTTTTCACTCCTTTTTTGCCAACGATTTTGTACTTTTGTAAATTTTGAAATCTTTCATATTTTCTGTCACCTCAAAAATGCTTTTGATTTACATATACTTAGCTTGCCGGATATTACAACTTTTAGAAATTGAAACTGCTTAAAAGAAAAAAGCTTAATTCATGACGAAATGTCCCTAACAACTTGTAAACTTCTTTTAAAATATAAAATTGAGTCGTGTTTAACAAGTACTTGCAACCTTTTTTTACATCCATATAACATTTTCATTATCATTATTAGATTATACATAATAATTATATATTTGATACACGAAGATTGATGATTTTAAATGAATTCATGACCTAATTAGTAAAGGCAGATTAGTTACCTTTAAATATAAAATGATGAAATAATGGAATGGGTACATGCTCACATATTATCAAGATCAGCAAATGTGTTCTCCAATTCCATTTTTATTTGCTCATGACTTTCCATCAATTAGTCGTATTTCCCTGAAATAGCGCCATGCATAGTAAGAAAACACTACCCACACTGCACTTTACTGATATGTAACAACATTAAAATCGAATGCATCAAAACAATACTCCTGCATACAGTCGCACGCACACACGGTGCAATCTTTTGAGGAGCTACTAACGAGATATCATCTATCAAGTATTTTATATATAATTTTAGTCTCAATCATTTCAATACACTCAATTACTTATCGTGATGTAATGCGAACAAAAATATCTTTTAACCCTTGTGATTTGGATCACAAGACATCACAAGCACTATAAAGTCCTTGTAGAGAAATTACTCCTCAAAAGTGAAATTGGTGACCATCCCTTATGTAAAACCATTTGTTCCAACAGTGTGGTGATGCCAGACATACTTTAGAAACCTTCTACAGCGAGTAAGGCAAAGTCAAGCTCATTTTCCACAATTCTAATGTCTTCACGTACTTTATCACATCTCTCTGCATGATTCAAGCATATGATCATGTGATTTTAATCATGTAACACACGCACATATTTTTTCTTATGAAAAAGAATGGGGTTTGCTTTTGCTAATCGGACGTTACAAATTCAGTTTGTATATTGAATTTGAAATCAGTTCAATCTTGCATCTAATGCAGTTCTAGTCTTAAGATATATCTTAGAACATTCTTTTTAAATAGACATTAAGATACCGAAATAAATGAGAAATCATTTGATAAATATTTAAACATACTTTCACAATGATCTACTTCCGCGAGTAGCCGTGTGTTTTCTCGTTCAGCATCCTCCAAACGACGCTCTTTCTGGTAGGGAAACACAAATTACATGCAATTAAAACACAAACAAGTCATTCATTCTTGAATATCTTCGTAACTATATATGCTCAAACATCCAGAAATAAGATTACTCTGGAAATTCATTTTAAATGTCATTGTCTTTGAGCTTATAAGCCTTGATCTTATGTTCTGATTAAGGAATTTTATAGCAAAGACAAGTTTTCAAATTCCCAACATCAATGTTATTTTTGGATGTTCCTTTTAAATATAACTACAAGAATATCAAAATGCAGCACACGGTCAAACGTATAAAGTTAGCTATTTTATAAACTAACCACGTTTATTGGTGACAGAATGGCTGTGTCAAGTGCTGTGTGGCAGCCGTAAAAAGTTGCCCCGTACTTCACTTCAGTGTTGTTATATTTTCTGGTCCTTCGGGATCATTGATGCCAGCCCTATTAAGTGTTGAGAATTGAGTACCGCTCAAGCCGGTGCTAGGGGGCGTGAGGGATGTTGCACTTATTCATTATTCCTCATGTACAGACTCAATCAAACCGAGTCTGCAATTCTTATGTAATTTTGTTGTGATTAATGCTTCCGAGGGATCACTTTGTTTCCAGAATTCAGTGTCAGACAATGCAAAGTTGTTGAAATTTTTGAAATTTTGTTAGGATATTTTCTAAATACTGTACATATTTTAACCAATATAAAACGTATACATTTCAGTTCAGATTCTGAACGAACGACTTTGCAATTTTTCCTTAAATTTCCTGAAACAAAAGAACAAATTCATGCAAGGAAATAACAAAACAGGAAACAAAACAAAACACTGTTTGTCTATTGATGCATATTGTCTGAAAAATAAAAACAAATTTTCAACATGCTGTTAGTTTTTTTCTACAGACATTGGCACATAGGCTTGGATGAAATAATTTCCACAATTCTAATATATTTATTTACCATCTGTAGCAAGGTTTGTTAAAAATTAGATTTTTCTTCAAAATTCATCTCGAGGGTACTTTAATACTCTAATTTTGTGTTCCATTTTTGTGTAACTTGTTTATTATACAAGATGCACAAATAACATAAATTAAAAATTTTCTTTTACCCTTTCCTTCATATAACTGACGAGCAACTGTCAACTCATTCAAAAAACCTTATGCTGAATTTCTAATTATTTTATAATTAAGTTTTAATATGTAAACCTTGTAACAGACAACCAAATAAAGTGGATAGATAATAGTGAATTATATATATCAAATGCATCATTTGCTGCTGGCTACTTTATAAAATACAGGTTAATATACTTGGACAGGGCATGGGTGTGTGGTAGTCAACAGGTTGTCTATAAATAAGAAGGGAAATTATATAAAATATCTTTGGCAAACCGAGGATAGTAAACAGGACTCATTCAAAAACTTAGAATGTGTACCATTAATAAAAGTCTGAGGTGTCAAATGCTTGTGAGTAATAATTTGCCGGCCTAGATGATGTAAGTTCACCGGAATGGGTGAAGTGAATTCTACATTTTGGCCGTTCTTGATAGAAGTTGACAGTTGCTTTTGCAACAATGTGTTTGTTCAATATTCTTCACAAAATGAAGTTAAAAAGATGTTATTAGAATGTCTGT